CACATACTACACACCACACATATACCCCGTACACACCACACACACTGTACACACCACACATACCACATAATACCATACGTACACACCATACAGATTTTGTATACACCTACACACCCTATACATGCTACACACCTTACACACTTCATAAATTCCACACACACAGCACACCACACTCCACATACATGTTACGTCATCTATACAACACATCACCTTCCACACAGATAACTTATTTACACTACAGATACCACACACATCACATAATATCATACATACATACACCATACACACCTAATACACACCACACACTCCCCATACACACCACACTCACTACACCATACACACGAAACATACACATTCAACCCTTCCACATTACATCACACTCCACACATACCAGCCATGCATCGCATACACCACAACCACACGCCATACACAGTATATTGCACACACTCACCCGCAAGGATGCCCCGCCATCACACACACACACATACACACACACACACCCACCCACCCACCCACACACTGCACATTCCTTACCCACCACACTACACACACTGTATCTCACGCACACACCACACAGCCCCCGCCACACGAGCTACCCATTGAATGAAATGGAATTATTTAGCTTTCCCAAAATTTATACTGCCCATCTGGGCAACCCCAGCTATCCTGGCCAGCACATCCTCTGGGCAATCCAAGTTATCCTGGCCGGCACATCCCCTGGTCCCGCCCTCCCTTGGGTCAGCACTGCCTCCGGTGTTTCTGGTGTCTCTGGCTGTGCCCTGGGGCGTGCTTACGTCCCAATTGCCTGGGAGGCTGGCCCCTCTGCCCCAATGGCCGCCTTCCTGGAGGAGACTGGCCTTTTTGCCACTCTCCTGATGCCCAGAGTGGCGCCAGGTGTGGGAAGTCCTACTTCTTCCCCTTGGTGTCTGCCCTTCCCCGAAGGTTTTGTCTCAGTGCTGACGTCTTCCCAGCTAGAAGAGGAGACCCTCAAAGGCGCACAGGTGGGTTTGATTATAATGGTGGTGAATAAGAAAATGCGATTTGGTAAAAGACTCAACCAGTACAAACATCTTTAATAAAGTAAAATGTGCAAGCCCCCTCTGCTCCCACCTCTCTCCCAACCCCTCCCCAGAGGACATGGCTGACAAGCCTTTGGGGGCTCCGCCTTTCTGTGTGCGTTTGCATCCGTGTATGGGCTAGGGAGTGTGTGCATATTCTTTAGCCATCTTGACAGAGCTGCAACTGGGATCTACACACGTGCACTGACTGTAGTTCACTTGCCATTTTCCCTCCAAGACAGGCCTTTAAGATCCCTCACTGTAGTGTGCATTGCCCTGAGTCTTTAAAAATGCTGTGCACCCTTGCAGTAGGCAAACTCTGCCGTCATTTATTTAACCATTCTTTTGTTTACGGGTACTTAGGTCATTTTCAGTTTTTTGAAAGACTGCTGTAGTGAAAATCTTCAGCTGTCATTTGCTGTTGCTGTGGCAGAACGTGGTGGGAGGTGCCATAGGGGTGGAGAGGCCTCGTGCGTGACCGGGCTTTGTGAGGTTCTGACTCTGTCCTTCCCAATGTTCCTCCCACACTGGCTGCCTCCTCCAGGAGATGATGGCTGTGTGAGTGCCTGCCATGGCCCACCGAAAGTGTGAGAGTGCAAGGAGCGGCATGTCAGACCACAGAGCGAGGCCGGGCACCGTTCCCCATGGCCAGGAGCGAAGACGAGGAGCTGCCCTTAGAGGACTAGGTACCCGAGGGCCTGGAACTGGCTGCCCTATAGCCAGAGAGCCCCATGCCCAAGGAGTAGGAATGCCACAACCACAACCCCGATGGGGACTCCAACGACGTGAACAACACCTCCGAGGAGGAGGACTACGACGAGGGCCTCCCCGAGGAGGAGGAGGGCATCACCTACTACATCTGCTACTGCCCCGAGGACGACAGCTACCTGGAGGGCAGGGACTGCAATGGGAAGGAGTACCTGGCCCACGGCATGCACCCCGTTGACACTGACATGTGCCAGGAGCATCCACACTACATGCCTCCTAACTGGAACGACCAGTGAAGAGCTCAGTCACCATTAGAACTGCAAGGCACCCAGCCCCTCCCACCGCCTCGCTTCAGCATCTGCAGCGGCTGTACTAGGAGGTCCCTTGCTCTCAGGCCCCTCTGCTACCTTCTTTGGGACAGGAGAGTCTTACTCTGGGACAGGAGAGGAGTGGCTGGACTAGGCGGGCCTGCACCCTCATAGCCACTGTGCTGAGGGCAGCCAGGACTACCCAGACGGCCACCTGCCCATCCTGGAGGACGAGCCCTCTGTCCTGGAGGCCCACGACCAGGAATAAGATGGCCAGTACTGTCCCAGCAAAGAGGGCTACTAGGGCTGCTACCCCACAGAGGCCAATGGGAACACCGGTGCCTCCCCTTACCAACTGAGGCATGGGGATGGGGACCTGGAGGACCAGGAGGATGACACTGACCCTATCGTGGCAAAGATCAAGAGGAGCCTGAGCATGACCAGCATCACCAGTGCCAGTGAGGCCTGCCCTGAGCATAGACCTGAGCTGGGACCTGGGGACTCTGCAGAGGCCTGCATACCCAGCCAGGCCAGCTGCAACCCCAGCAGGCACGAAGCGAAACCCAAGTCATGAATCTCCCTCCCGAGGCCAAGCACTGTGAAGACCCCCAGAGAGGCTTCAAGCCCAAGACTAGGACCCCAGAGGAGAGGCCGAAGTCATCCCACGAGCAGGTAGAACTCTCCTGTCCCAGAGAATCGAGCAGAGGGGCCTAAGAGCAAGGGACCCAGCTCTGCATCTCTTTTTATAGAGGTGCTAATTCATCATGAGAGCTCCACTCTCCTGACCTCATTACCTCCCAAGGGCCTCACCTCCTACCACCGTTACATTGGAGGCTAGGATTTCAACATATAAATTTTGAAGGAACACTTTTAGTCCATAGTACATGGAAAGTAATTTCTTAAATAAAGTACTGAAAGTGGCTGGATGTGGTGGTTCACACCTGTAATCCCAGCAGTTTGGGAGGCTAAAGCAGGAGGATTGCTTGAGCCCAGGACTTCCAGACCAGCCAGGGTAACATAACAAGACCCTGTCTCTCCATATATAAACATATATATATATATACACACACACACAAAATTAGCTGGTACACACACACACACACAGTCACTCACTCACTAGCTGATTGGTCGGCTGCTTGCCTGTAGTCCTGGCTACTCAGGAGGCTAAGGAGAGAGGATCACTGGGGGCCAGGAATTTGAGGCTGCAGTGAGTTGTGATTGAGCCACTGCACTCCTGCCTGGCCAACAAAGCGAGACTTTGTCTCAAAAGAAAAAAATATTTAAAGCATAAACTCAAAAGAAAAATGGTGATAGATTTGATTTCGCCAAAGTATTTAGACTTCTTTTCAACCAAAAATACCGCAAACAAAGTTTAAAGAGAAACCGTAGATCAGGAGCAGGTATTTGCAATTCATATAATCAACAAAGGATACATATGTAGAATATTTAAGGAATTCTTACGAACTAATATTTTTAAAAGTCAGCCAACCAAAAGAAAAGTGGGCAAACAATATGAACATGGAATTCATAGAAAAGTTAACTTGGCCAGGCACAGTGGTTCATGCCTGTGATCCCCGCACTTTGGTAGGCCAAGATGGTCAGATCACCTGAGGTCAGGAGTTTGAAACTAGCCTGGCCAACATGGTGAAACCTCATCTCTACTAAAAACACAAATTAGCCGGCCGTGTTGGCATGTGCCTATAGTCCCAGGTACTCAGGAGGCTGAGGCATGAGAATCGTTAGAACCCAGGGGACAGAGGTTTCAGTGAGCCGAGATTGCACCACTGTGCACCAGCCTGAGAAGCAGGGCAAGATTTCATCTGGGGGGAAAAAAAAAAGGAAACTTGAAGGATCTGATCTGCAAACATAGCAAGAGATTTAGCATCAATAGGAATGAGGGAATTGGACGTAGAAATGACAAGGAGAGGCCAGGCACGGTGGTTCATGCCTGTAATCCCAGCACTTTGGGAGGTTAAGGTGGGTGGATCATGAGGTAAGAGTTGGAGACCATTCTGGCCAACATGGTAAAACCCTATCTCTACTAAAAATATAAAAATTAGCCAGGCATGGTGGTGCGTGCCTGTAATCCCAGCTACTCGGGAGGCTGAGGCAGGAGAATCGCTTGAACCAGGGAGTCAGAGGTTGCAGTGAGCGAGGTGATGCCATTGCACTCCAGGCTGAGACAGAGCGAGACTGTCAAAAAAAAAGTTAACCAGAAAAAGTAAGTTTTCAATAACAGGTACAAGTCACGTATAATATATAACAAATAGGGCATACACGTATTAGCTAACATTTAAAAATACATTTAAAGACATCCACATAAGTAGCAGAACTATAAAATATTGCACAATTCAGAGGAGGAGTGGGTACCTCCAGGGACTGGTAGCGGAATAAGCCTACGGGGGAAGGTCCTGGGGGCTTTATTTCATATATAAGTTAAGTTTAGTTTGTGAAACCAGAAAGTCTAAAGCAAGTATCATTATATATGAGTATATTCTGATAACGCCAGAGAGTGGTACCCAGGGGTTTGGCATATGGGCTCCTACAGATTTATTTATGTTTGAAATATTTATTTATTTATTTATTCTT